TTATTAACTAATGTAAGATTTTCCTTAAAGTTTAACATATGTATCATTCCACAAAATTCTACAGTTGCATCTGCAGAAATATATTCTTAACTTAAGCGTATTAAATTTCATCTGTAATCTGTTAACCATAAAAATTAAATAACAAACTACAGATTGTTCTGATATAAGACTGAATTCCATGCACAGTACAAATAAAAAATTCTAAAAAAAACAAACAAACAAGTAATCTATTTCATGCTTGCAAAATTGCTTATCCAGTACATCCAAAATATGGGAACTGTAATTTTGTTTATATCCTTTGCACTTTTTTCTCTTATACATCCTTTATTAACCATTAAATACCATCTAAGCTATAGGCTTCCAATTCAACTTCCTTGAAATTTTAAGTCTATTCTTACAAGTTTAGTTTAATCATAAATTGCGCATATCATATTACAATCAACCAATGCCTTGAACACTCAAATTCTGTGTACGGATGTGTAATTTTCAACAATAATTAATTTTAAATACAGGAGTCCCCAAAAGATATATACACATGGTTAATATTCTATAATAATGCCTATACATCTTTTTGGGACATTCTGTATAGGTTACTTCTGAGATCTTCATTGAACATTATTAAGATTGATATTTGTTAAACCAAATATTTTAAAAAAATAGAACAAATTGAAGTTGACAGAAGATGTCTATTTATAGCACTATACTGAAAGAAATGCTGGAATAAAGACAGCATTAACAAATAATATTATGATTTACCAATTTTTCCTTCCGTATTGTGATCATTAAGTACACCAAATGCAATGGCTGGCAAAATACAAGCAAAATAAAGGAACATAGTTGTAGAGATGATCTTGTGAATTGTGCGAGTATCCATAAACCCATCACGGTAGTCAGATATATAGTGAGGAATTCTACGCAGGACATCATCTTGAATTCCTCTTCCAAACTGACACAGTCTTTCCTCCTGTAAAGTAAACATATAAATACATTATACATTAGGAAGCCCATAAACTATTTGTATACTATATAGTTTGTAATTTTGTAAATAGTGTTTTATTTTCTGTATCAATTTGAATACTTAATCCTCATTCTTTGCATTTACCAATTTAGTATTCATTAACTCAGACAAAACACAATATCAGTATGTTTTGTGAACATGATCAATAACAGGAACAAAACATGGCCATAAATTATTTAATTAATTTTGAGAAAGTTGGATGTGCACTGCTGTGGAACGTGCACTTTCATTACAGTCTTATGAGTAGTCATGAATATAAGAAGAAGAAAAGAAACTTACATATTCATAGTCTTGTGTGACACAATTGTTATCAGTATATCTCTTCTCAGCTTCACTTTGTTCATCTGCAAGTTGATGTGTCTGATTGAGAATGAGCTGTTTGAACTCCTCTTCACTGTGAGCTTCTATCAGCTTCTGCCTGAAGTCTATATCTGCCAGTATTGTTGAAAATGTCCTTCCCATTTCCATAGCATTTTTAGTTCCTTTCTGTACATCAGAGACAGAATTGTACAGAGCCATTACAAATAAATGTACAATTTTAACAATTTATTTTTAAGAACCTAATAGTATAAAAACAATACCTCAAAACATATTTAACTTTATAGCTATTGAATATATATACTGTTGATGTTTTTAACAGAATCTAAGCAACACACACACACACAAAAAATCCCATCCCAAACTTTTGTATGGTTACTTTTTCAATCCATGCAGTAACTTCATGAATTCAGTGTTGTGAGCCACGAAGTTGTATTAATAAATGCTCTTTAACATATACCATATATTCCATAGATGTTACATGCAGAAATTTATGAGGCCATGGTTTAACATTTGCATGACCAATCTATTTTCCAGGAAATATTTATGTCCCTTTACATTAATCTTGAATTGTGTCTGATTAAAATGAATAAAATGACTAACTCTCACATCATGGGGCAAAATCTGTATTCAGGAGATGATAGTTGTTCAGCTGATAACAAAACCTTTCATGAAACCCAAAAGTTCATTACCATATTTACAAGAGCTGGCCACAGGGCCCATTTTTAAGTCAGATGAGTCCTGTTGAATTTCACATTCTATTTCTATAAGATCCACTTTATATTATGCTCCCATCTATGCCTATTTCTCCCAAGTGGTCTCTTTCTTCACATTTCTAGACTAAACTTTTTTATGCATTTCTTATCTCCTCGTGCTACTATATGTCCTGTCAGTTTATCCTCCTTGACTTGTCACCCTTGATAAAAAGTACAAATGTGAAGTTCTCTATATAATTGTCCTCAGTTCATAGTAGCAGTAGGCTATTAATAAAATCAAAGGAAATATGGTATAACTTAGTAAGAAGTTTATATTTCACTGAAATGTTAAAAAAAAACCAAACTTGCAACAAAATGAAGACACACTTGTCACTGATTGAGGTATGTTCATATACAAAAATAGTATGGTCAGCAGCGGTGAGATTAAAAGAAACTCAAGAAACTGAGTGATAAAATTGTATATACGTTTAACATTTATAACATTTTGATTTATATATTCCAACAATTACTGATAAATTTGTGAGAGAAGGAGGCCAAAATTATTCTGCAACATGCATATAATGAAATAAAATGGGAAGATCATAATTTATCTCCACAAATGTTGAACAGATTTCAGTGACACTTTCTACTTAGGATTTATAGAATACAAAATTTCCTGTACCGATTTAATTTGGGCCTGTATCAGTCAATATACTATTACTTTACGTGAAGCTCAAATCAAACTTGTTTCCCTGAAAAGTAGAAAAGGCTTATCAAATAATGTGAACACAGATCTAGTCAATGTCTAAAATGTTTGAAGGAAGTTTTTGTTATATTACGTAAAAGTAATGAAATAGGTTCAAGTAAAAAATGTCATTATTATCTAAGAATTTGCCACTTATAGTGCAATTAGGTTTGGAGCAACAGACTACTTACAATTATGTAAAGTGTCTATCTGGAAAATCAAAGTGTAATTTCTATTTTTGTCATGTATTGATTAAAAAAATATTACTTTTACCATGTCTATAGTCCATTCTAACCTTCTGCAGGCATTGCAGATGTACCAGATGTAAGACGTACCTCCTTGCTGGGGCATATCACGAGAACAAAGAGTTTCACTTCGTGGCTTGTACGTCCAAAGTTGGCAGGGTGTTTGAGGCGAGTGATGGCAACTCGTCTGCGTTGCAGTGTTGGTAGATTACAGCTGAGTCAAAGCAATTTATTATTACAAATTACTTGCTACATCATTCACTAAATCATTTATTCACTTTCAAGTGGATTCATCATCTTCCGTGTAACACTTTTTTGTAAGATGAGTTTATAAGGTATAAGGTTGTTTCTAAATATGAGTTCAAGGGTAATGCATTGGGAGGCAAATTTCACATTTTCCAATTTTTTGTCTGTGACAAAAAAGAATTAAAATCTCTATACATATTTTGATATTTTTCATTTTAATTACAAAGGGCCTGGTCCTCTTTTAGCTATGCATTCTTCTGCCTCTAAAGTTGTTGTTACCAAATATATAAAACCTCTCACCAAACAAACAGAAAACAACAAAAATAATATATATAAGTGTATATGATTGTGTGAATTACAGTTCACAGAGAAATGTAACAGATTAATATGGTCTACGTCATTCTTGACGATCTTAGATTGTCAAGAGTGGCACACAGAACATTAAGATTGAAAGCAGCTGTTCTGAAGAAGCAAAGATGTGAACAATACAAAGAAATATGAAAAATATAAGATACAACAGTTTACAGAGGAAAAGTAGCTTGGATTTGTGAGACAACACTATTTCACTGTTTAAATTTCTGTTAAAAGTATTTGAAATGATTATGCTCAGTTACACTCACCCTATCGCAAACTGTTTGAGGAACTTTGCAATTTGTATTTTTCTATTCAATTTTCAGATTTTAGTTAAGTCATTCACTGGATGAAATTTACTGGAAATGTTACCGTATGTGAGGTTCATGTATGTTAAATATTTTTTGTAAATTTCATTGGAGGATGATGTATTCACTTTTCTAATAATTCTTCCTTTAGCTAGGAATCATCTGTACTTCCACCTATCCAACTATTCTACTTTATTACCTTTCTTTACTGTCCCACTCTATCGCTTTCTCTGCATCTCCCTTTGTGCCTTTCATGTCCTTTTCTTGCAGAGACTAACTTTATGAATACAAAGGTCATCGAATATTCAGAAAATGCCAACTTACAGAGCACAAATCCAAGACTGATCATAGTCAAAGTTGGTGCCTCCTTCAGCGCTGCATGCTCCTTGTATAGTGCGTGACATAAGATGTAAGGCTGTAAGAATACAGAATAAAATTTGTAGATTTATTTTTCATCTACGTTCAAACTAAATTTCACATTCTTGCTTTTAATGATTCATTTATATCCATAAAAACAATAATTAAATCCAGATTTTGGGAAATCACCATGTTGTTTTACATTATACAAAAATTACTTTGACACGAGTTTTATATCTTTTGAAGATATATTACAGCACGCAATTTCCGAGCCATGTAATAAGTTATTATTTAAATTTCTGTATATTCTCCACTGATATTCTGAAAGAACACAACATTAAAAAAACCTGGATATGTTGCTTCAATCCCTTTAAGGTATTAACAATTTACAGTCATTCATATACATCATTTAAAAAAAAAATCCATTACCAGATTCACAAAGCTAGGATAATTCAGTAAAATGTTCATGTACAACTAGGTTCGAATCCCAGTAAGGGTAGAATTTACTCTTTACTACCACTGCTGACCACTCACCCCATCTAGTGCCGAGGTCAAGAATGAGTAGGAGCTATACCGACACTCCCCCCAAGTGCCTATATGGCGTGTATATACAGACCAACTGTGGGGTGTACCCAGCCTTCAATCCAATGTGTATCAGGAGTGGTCTGGTTTGGAGTAAAGCAACCAGGGTGCTTAGCTAAGCGATCGCCCGTTTAAAGTCCGTCTGTTTTATGAAGGGACCTTGTCCATGGCTACTCCAAGTGCACTGCAGGTCCCGACATTGAACAGAGTATAGTGCCTGGGTCAAACATTCGTGGAGATTTACCTCTGTCCCCATTAAGTGTTGATAACCTGGAGCTTAGGAAGATGGAATATTGTATACTTCTCAAAGTCTACATATGCCTCACAGCAAGAGCGACGGATTTAAAACTGTAGAAACAAACTTGATGACAGTTTTGAATGAAAAGCAGTGCTGAAAGTCCAGATTGTCAGCAGCAGAACCAGAATAGAGGAACCTGTTTGTTTTCAGAAGGCAGTGCGACAGCAGATGTAAAACCTCCTTCTTTGATTACATTTTATTACAGTCTGCGTAGTAACTCGGTTACAACGTTCATATTTTTTTTTTCGCAAGAGATCTGTTTCACAAACATTTTAACAAAATTAACACAAACGTATGAAACATTCGCACCTGCATTGCTGTTACATCAAAATTACCAAGTTATCGTCTTTATTTTTTATCTGGCTGGTTTTTGTTGTCAGGTACATTAGAACTAGCGAGACTGGGGCCCTACATACGAGGTGCGATCGGAAAGTTTCCAGACTGCGCCTATAAAAAACCCTTACACTTATCTCAGGTATTAAATTCATCCATCACCCTCGAAGTAGTTCCCCTGGGAGTGAACACAACGATCCCAGCGCCGCTGCCAAGCCTGGAAGCATCCCTGGAAATCTTTCTTTGTCAGCCTGTCAAGCACCATCTGCGATTCTGCCTGAATCTCTTCTATCGTCTCAAATCTAATTCCCTTTAGCTGAAATTTCATCTTTGGGAAGAGGAAGAAGTCACACAGCGAATAAGGAGGGTGCGGGATGA